CCTGCTAGGAAGGGTCTCACCTTTTTCCTGCCTGTAACAACTCCAGTCCCTCATTCACTTTAGCAATTGGCATCGTGTGTGTGATCAGCAAGTCCAAGTTGAATTTCTTCTCCAAATAACTGGAAACTAATTTGGGCATAGAATCTCTCAGCCTCCAGCCTAGAAATGGGAGAAAGCACCTGCAGTGAATAATCAGAGAAATGCTGTTTGCTAACATAATGTTTGTAGTTTGCCAGTGCCGACAGTGTAGCAGCTGCCCTCTGAGCAGAATGTTAGAGCCGCCCAGGCTGTGATGGCCAGTACGATATACTTGAAGCTGTGCCCTTGTAAAGCACGGTAGCTACTTCTTGGCATACATCAAAATTAATAGGATGAGGCTAAAAATCTGAGAGAGTCCCTTTGATCTCAGAGTATGGCTGGACAGAGTGAGAAGATCCTCAAGGTGCACCAGCTCCTTCTCTGACACAAGACAGAAGCACTTAGACCGCAGTGAAGTGTAAGCTGAGATCAGTTGTTGGGGCTTGAGGGGGGTGTGTATGAGAGTGGGCACCCCTGGAAGGCCAGGTAATGGGTATGTGTGTGATGGAGGGGCAGGGATGAGACAAAGCAAGAGAGTGGGACAGGGAAAGAAGAGTCTTGTAGAGGAAAGAGAGAGCAAGGTGCAACAGGAAAGTGTTAATAGGGCAACAAGGAGTTACTTTCATAAGATGGAACTATCCTCCTACACATATTGTAGGGTCAGGATTGAGTGACCTGTACTGGCGTCTTTATCTTGTGAGAAATTTTCCTCTTCTGAGAAGGAGAGTGGTTTTATCCTTGTTTTAGTCTCTGGTTAGTGCAGAGAATTTTGTGTGTTGAGCTGTATGAAATAGTTACAGGTTTATTAGCATGTTTCGTGCTTATATATACAGTGGAAATGCAGCGCTCCTCCTTGGTTATGTTTTTTTTTTCTAGAAAGCCCTCTCAAAGAGGCTTCCTGGGACATTGCCAAGCTTGAAATATTCTCGATGACCAAGAAGTTAATGAATAACACCTATAAGGAAAAGTATCTTTTGTCCTACAGCTGAGAACATTGCTCAGATGTGAAAAGTCATTTCAAAGGGAGAGGTATTCATAAGCCCTGAAGGGTACCTATTCCACAGGCGCTAGTGACAACTGACGTGGAGAAGGCTGAGGTACTCAACAATTCTTTTGCCCAAGTTTTCAATGGTAATCTCTCTTCCCACATCTCGCCAGTGGGAAGAGACCATGGGAACGAAGTCCCTCTCATGAGTGAAGAGCAGGTTTAAAAACACCTCAGGAACATGACTATACATAAGTCCGTAGGACCTGATGAGATGGATCCCACAGTCCTGAGCGAACTGACTGATATAGTTGCCATGACACTCTCAATTATATTAAAATAGTTGTGGCAGTCAGGTGAAGCACCTAGTGATTGCAGAAAGGAAAATGTCACACCCATTTTTAAAAAGGATCAAAGAAGGACCCTGGTAATTCCTGACTCATATTCGATAAGATCATAGCTTGGTAAGATCATGGAACAGATCCTCCTGCAAGATATGTCGAAAGATACAGAAGACAGAGAGATGACATGACTCACCAAGGGCAAACCATGCCTGACTAACCTAGCAGGCTTGTACGATGGAGGGACTGTAGCAATGGAGGAAAGAGTTATAGACGTCATCTACTCAGATTTCTGTAAGGCCTTTGATACAGTCTCCCACAATAATCTTGCTGCTAGTTTGGAGAGATAAGGATTTGACAGGTGGCCTGTTAGATGGGTAAGGAATTGGCTCAATGTCCTCCTCCAAAAATTCAATGTCCAAGAGGAAACCAGTAATGAATCATGTTCCTCAAGGTTCTGTGCTAGTACCAATACAGTTTAATATCTTCATCAGTGATATAGACAGTGGGATTGAGTGTACCTTCAGCAAGTTTGCCAATGACACCAAGCTAAGTGGTGCAGCTGAGAGAAGGGATGCCATGCAGAGACCTTGGCAGGCTTGAGGAGTGGGCCTGTGCGAACTTCATGAAGTTCAACAAGGCCAAATGCAAGGTCCTGCACTTGGGTTCGGGCAATTCCCTCTATTGACACAGAGTGAAAGACGAATGGATTGAGAGCAGTCCTGCAGAGAAGGACTGGAGGATACTAGTGGGTGAAAAATAGGATGTGAGTCAGCAATGTGCACTCACAGCCCTGAAAGCCAGTCATGTCCCTGGCCACATAAAAAGGAGCATGGCTAGCAGGTCGAAGGAGGTGATTCATCCCTTCTGCTCCACTCTTGTGAGACCCTACCTGGAATACTGTGTCCAGCTCTGAGGTCTCCAATACAAGAAAGACATAGACCTCTTAGAGTGAGTCCAGAGAAGGACTGTGTAAATGGTCAAATGGCTGCCATCTCTCCAGTGAAGAAAGTCTGAGAGAATTGGGGTTTTTCAGGCTGGAAAAGAAAAGGCTCTGGGAAGACCTTGTTGTGGCCTTTCAATGCTTAAAAAGGGCCTTATAAGAGAGATGGAGACAGACTTTTTAAAAAGGCCCATAGTGACAGGACAAGGGGTAATGTTTTTAAACTGAAAGAGGGTAGATTTGGATTGGACGCAAAGAGGAAATTTTTTATGATGGAGGTGGGGAGACACAGGAGCAGGTTGCCCAGGGAAGTTGAGAATATGCCATCCTTGAAAATGTTCAAGGTCAGGTTGGGCCATGTTTTGAGCAACCTGTTCTAGTGCAAGATGCCCCTGTGCACAGCAGAAGAGTTTAAACAGACGGTCTTCAACGGCCCCTTTCAACCCAAACCCTTCTGTTATTCTGTAACTTGGAAACTATCATGAGAAGAAAAGGCTGAAATGTCTGAAATGTCTTCTAGAATTTTGTACCTCCAAGCAGAGTCCCCTTCCATGTACGCCCAGACAGCAGAAGCATAGGATCAATGGAAATTGCTGAACCAGAAGGCAGTAACCCAACCATCACGCAGACACCAGTGTTCATGTTGCAGGAAGCCAGAGCAGCGTTCTGATGGGACAGGCAGGTGAATTAGACAATATGATGATGAGTTTGTTAAAAAGCATTCTTTTTTTCTTTCTGCCCCTCCCTGGTAATCTAAAAACATATACTCCCTTGTGCAGGAGAGAGGGAGAGCTCAGTGCTTGTCTTGAAACTGTTTTGAAAAGCCAAGAGACTGCCTTTCTGAGCAAAGATGTGCCCAGCGGTGCAGACTTCTGTTATCCCTGTCATTAAGGGATATGGTCTCTGAGTATGCTGTTCATTAATAGGAATACAAACTGTTAAAAATAATTTGCTAAATTCAAAGGATTTTAAGACATATATAAAACTCAGTATTGCGTCATTTAGCCAAAAAATAGAAAGGCAGCAAACACAGACGAATTCAAGTTAAATTCCACTTTGAAACTATTGCTTAATAGTTTCAGGCAAGGGACTACTGCCAGGGTGAATTTTGCCCTGAGGGGAGCCTGTGAATGAGCTAGGAGGGAGGCCACTTACCATGGTATCCGCACGCCCAATGACCTCAAAGGAGTAGTCCACTCCATGGCCGGTCATCTCGGTGATCACCTCTTCAATGGGCTTCTTGAAGTCTTGAGGGTTGATGCAGTCAGTGGCTCCCAGCTCCCTGGCCTTGGCAAACTTGTCCTTGTTGATATCAATGGCGATGATGCGGGAAGCTCCAGCCGCTTTGCAGCCCATGACAGCAGAGCGGCCAACTCCTCCAAGGCCAAAGACAGCGCAGGTGGACCCTGGTTTTACCTGCACAACATGGGGCCCTGTGAGTCTCCAGCCTCAGGAGGAGGCTTCTGTTGCACAGGGCTGGTGGGGTGTGAGGGTGGCCATGGGGTTCTTGTGCAATACCAACCTTGGCAGTATTGATGGCAGCCCCATAGCCTGTGGAAAACCCACAGCCAAGCAAGCAGACCTTGTCCAGAGGTGCAGCAGCCTCTATTTTGGCAACGACGTACTCTGGGATCACAGTGTATTCTGCAAAGGTGCTGACCCACAAGAAGTGGTGGATCTTTTTCCCTTTGCAAGTGAACCGGCTGGTCTTGTCAGGCAGGAGGTTTTGTGGTTCAGAGAGACTGTTGGGAGGAGCAAGCATTTTGGTTTTCATCAAGTAAACATCCATGGTGTCATCAGACTTGTTGAGAGACAGCCAACACTGTTTAGGTGTAGGGGAAGGAGAATTAAACTCACTGGGATTTGAGGCAGTAGTTGGATTCGGGATTCTGGCAGAAGCTGCATTCCCCGCAATGAGGAAGGGGAATGGGGATGACTTTGTCTCCTGCAACAAAGCAGATTCCTGCTAGGTGCCTCTCACTCAGCATGCCCTGGTTGGAATGCCTCTGATGAGCTTTCCAACAGCAGCATCTTACCACAAACCCTCTGCTTTCTCTGTCGGGAAGAAATGCTCAGAGCCCCCTCGAGCGCATGTACAATAGTCCAGGGAAGTGTATCTGACAGTCCAGTGCAATGAGTGTGTACTCAGGTTACGAGCCAGCGAATGCAGGAGCAGGGCACAACTTCTGAGCTCCAGGCAGCCTCCTCTGCTTTGAGAGCTGATTCTTGGACTTGTGCTTGTATGTGTGTGTGTCTTACCTGGTTTCACAGAGGTCACTCCTTCTCCAACGCTTTCCACAATCCCAGCTCCTTCATGGCCTGGGATAACTGGGAAATCCACATTAGGAAAGTAACCTTTCAAAACGTGTTCATCTGTGTGGCAGATGCCAGTGGCCACAATCTATTTGGAGTTGAAAGAGAAGATGATGAGCTTTAGAAATAGCCTGTCCTCTGTTTAATTCAATTTGTGGAAGGGTATTTTACAGAGGTTCTCTGGGCAGTTAAGGGCTATTGGAGAACACAGGTTCCTGACAGGTATATTCAAGGTACAGCCGCAACAAGAGCAGTTCCGATAAGGGAGAAAAAAAACAGCGAAACATGGTTTTACCTTGATACGGACTTCACCTGCCTTTGGAGGTGCAACCTCCACTTCCTCAACAGAGAGTGGTTTGCCCACAGCCCAGGCAACAGCAGCTCTGCATTTGATAACCTGGAAGCAACAGAGGGGATGATGCCACAAGGGAACATCTGCCTTTGGCACATGCCGGTGCTAAGGGAAAGGCCAAGGTGGCTCTCTCCCCTCTCTTGTTTGCTGTGTGAGCACCATGTGGCTTCCAAGGTGACTTCTGGTAGGTGACATGGAGAAGATGCCTGCCATACTGTGCAGTTTTGAAAGTAACATGTGTACTCTTGCATCTTCAGGCCAGAAGGACAGCACTTTTAGTACCAGGAGACATCCTTGTAACAAACTTTGCTGTCGGTCTTGCAAAATACTGGGCTAAAGGTACCTAAGAAGCATTAAGGAATGGCCCTCATCTGGCTGACTACTGGATAATTTTTTACCTTGCCAAAGGGATGATTTTTGTGTGACATCCCCCAGACCCCGAGGCGATCAACTCAAAGCTGTTTTGGCATCAGCAAGATTTATGGCCCAAAGAGGAAATTGCCAGGGTCAATGTTGACCACAGGAGGCGAGTGGCCGCAAGACTGCATGTCTGTGTTTCCCCACCAGAGCAGGAGTGCAGAGCGAGGCTGAGCAGGAGGGAGCTTTTCAGAGTGAAAGATTTCTATTTTCATTCCTGCGCTGCTGGGTGGGACAGGAGGGGAATGCACTACCTCAGGCAAGCACCAACACGTGCAGTTGTACAAAAGCAGAAGCTGTTGTTATGCAAAGGGATTTGGATGAGTTGTGGGAGTAAGGTTGGAGAAGAGAAGGTGCGCGGTATTGGTGCGCAGGCTGAGCCATTTGCAAAATATTTCCCAAAGAGCAGGGTACCTCATAAAGGATGGTGGGAAATGCGTTGTCCTTACTTTTCCAGAAGTGGCCATGACGTCTTAGCAGAGCTGTTGCTCCCACTGCAGCAGGCTGGAGAGAAGCCGCCGGCCGGCCGTCTGAAGCCCTGTGTTATGAAAAGTTCCAGCTGTGGAGCAGGAGCAGCCCTGGGAATGTGAGATTGTCATGGGAGAGCTGTGGTTAATCAGCAACCAGAGCTCACTGTGCAATTGGACAAGAGTCCTCCAGGGTGGCTTTTATTGGTGGCTCTGTCTCTGGACGTGCCCTGCCCTCCCTGCCTGAAAGGCACAGAGAGCTCAGAGAGATTTTTCTCCTCTGGTTGCTTCTGGAAGGTGTGTAGGGAGGAGACTGGCAGCACTGCTGGGGCTTCATGGGATCCCCTTGTTGCCAAGGCGTAGCGTTTTACCTGGCAGTAGTTCACGCCAAGGAATTTGCAAAAGGATTAAAAATTGAAAAAAAT